GTATGCCCTCACAGCATGCTCCTGTCCATTCTTTGCATGTGCTTGTTTAATCAGTTCTCCAGAGAATGCCCCAATGGAAACCCTACTTCCTTCCTCACTGGAAACAATGGAGAATTATCTGGATACAATTAGGTTGTTCTAATAGCTCCAAGTGAACTGTATTCCTTTATGGTGTTTCTAGCCTTTGTTTAATACCTGTCTTTCCACTAAAACTCTGCTTCTCAGAGGCCAAAGGGTGCCTCTGACGTTATCCAGGGTTCCCTTTCAGGATCATTTGCACTCTGAGATCGTAAGACCTTAGAGGTGGAAAGAGCCTTGGAGAGTGTACCCTGACTTCCTCCTTTGCTCTGTGGGCCTGAGGGGACTACAGAACTCTAAGGGAGACCTCTGGGACTAGGCACATTCAAAGCCTCAAGGGACCTGTCCTCTTTTCCTGTCTTCTTTACACCAAGTTCATCTGTTTTTTTTTTTTTTAGTTGGGGTCTCACTTTGTCACCTTGACAAATCGAGTTGAAGCCTGGGTTTTTTGATGTTTTACAGAGACGAAGTCTCACTATGTTGCCAAGGCTGGTCTCAAACTGGGCTCAAGGGATCCTCCTGCCTTAGCCTCCTAAAGTGTTGGGATTACATCATGACTCACCACACCCAACCTCTTTTTTATTCTTTTAAAAAGTTTTTCTCTTACCCAATATGACTGATATGTTTATTCTTTTAAGTAAATGGTAGCACACCAAACAATATTGTTTCAGTACCTTGCCTTTCTCTTCACTTAAAAATGTATCTTGGGGACGTGCTATCCACTTTCTTGTTCTTTGTCTGTGTGCGTGTGTGAGAGTGCACTAAAATGCATATGCTATAAAATGTGCTTTTTTTTTTTTTAGAGACAGGGTCTCGCACTGTCACCCAGGCTAGAGTGCAATGGCTCAATCACAGCTCACTACAGCCTCAACCTTCCGGGCTAAGTAATCCTCTTTCCTCAACCTCCTGAGTAGCTGAGACTACAGTGAAGACCATCATGCCCAGCCAATTTTTTAGTTTTTTGTAGTGATGGGGTTTTGCTACATAGACCAGGCTAAAATGTGCCATTTTAATCATTTTTTAAATAAGAAAAAATGTCTAATGTGGCAAAACATACATAATATACAACTTTATTTTATTTTTTTTTATTTTTGAGTCAGAGTCTCACTCTGTTGCCCAGGCTGGAGTGCAGTGGCAGGCTCATGGCCACCCCAGTGTCGACCTGCTGGGCTCTAGTAATCCTTCCGCCTCAGCCTTCCAAGTAGCCGGAACTACAGGTGCACGCTACCACGCCCGGCTAATTTTTTATTTATTGTAGAGACAAGATCTCACCAAGTTGCCCGAGCTGTTCTTAAACCCATGGGCTCAGGCAATCCACTCACCTCAGCCTCCCAAGCGCTGGGATTACAGCCTGAGTCACCGAGCCTGGCCAATAATTTTTAAATGTATAGTCAGTGGCACATATTTATGGTGTTTTCACAAAGTTGTACGACCATCATCACTATTTCCAGAGCTATCTCATCAACACAAACAAAGACTCTATCACCACTGAGCAAGGCTTCCTCATTCTGCACGTTCCTCAGCCTCTGTAACCTCTTACCTACTTTGTCTCTATGAATGTGCCTATTCTAGATATTTCATGTGAATGGAATCATATCATACACGATATCTGTCCTTTTGTGACTGACCTCTTTCTCTTAGCATGTTCCCAAGGTTCATCCCTGTTGTAGCATGTGTCAGAACTTCAGCCCCTTTTATGGCTGAATAATATTCCACTGAAGCCGGGCATGGTGGCTCACGCCTGTAATCCTAACACTTTGGGAATCTGAGGAGGGAGGATTGCCTGAGCCCAGGAGTTTGAGACTAGCCTGGGCCACACAGTAAGACCTCATCTCTAAAAATCATCATCATCATAATAAAATCCATTATATGGTGAGACCATATTTTTCTTTACCCATTCATCTATCTACCTTTTGGCTACTGTGAATAACGCAGCTATGAATATTGGTGTACAAGTATTTGTTTGAGTCCTTGCCTTCATTTTTATGGGGCATAGTCCTATAAGTGAAATTGCTGGGTCATATGATAATTCTGTTTAACTTTATTAAGAATTTCCAAAACATTTTCCACAGTGACTGCACCATTTTTTCCAACAGCAATGTATGTGGGTTCCAATTTCTCCACATCCTCCCCAACATTTGTTATTTTCTGTTTTGTTTTGTTTTTGAGTCAGAGTCTCACTCTGTGCCCAGGCTGGAGGGCAGTGACATGCTCATGGCCACCACAGCCTCGACCTACTAGACTCAGATGATCCTTCCACCTCAGCCTTCCAAGTAGCTGGGACCACAGGCACGCACCACCACATCTGGCTAATTTTTTGATTTATTGTAGAGATGAAGTCTCACCAAGTTGCCCAGGCTGGTCTCGAACCAGTGGGCTCAGGCAATCCTCTCACTTCGGCTTCCCAAAGTGCTATGATTATAGGCTTGAGCCACTGCACCCGGCCTCTGTTTTTTTTTTTTTTTTTTCCAAATTAACACCATCCTCGTAGGTATGAAATGGTATCACTTTTGATTTGCATTTCACTAATGACTAGTGACATTGAGCATCCTCCTATGTAATTATTTGCCATTTTTGAATGACTTCTTTGGATAAATGTCTATTCAAGTCCTTTACCCATTTTTAAATTGGTTCTTGTCTTTTGTTTTGTCTTTTTGTTGAGCTTTAGGAAGTTTGCCTGTTTTAACTACTGGATTTTCGGACGATGTTGCATCTTAAAAAGGGTTTCAGCCAGGCACAGTGGCTCACACCTATAATCCCAGCACCTTGGAGGCCAAGGCAGGATTGCTGGAGCCCAAGAGTTTGAGGCCAGCCTAGGCCACAAAGTGAGACCCCGTCTCTACAAAAAAATTTTTAAAAATCACTCGGGCATGGTGGCATGCACCTGTAGCCTCAGCTACTCAGGAGGCTGAGGTGGAAGAATCGTCTGATCCCAGGAGGTTGAGGCTGCGGCAAGCCAGGAGCATACCACTGTCTTCAGCCTGCGCATCAGAGTGAGACTTCAACTGAAAAAAAAAAAGATTTCACTGCTAAATAAGTTTTGAGATCCAGTCCAGTCCTTTCATCTCACGTATAGAGAACAGAGGTCCCTGAAATCAAGATCACAGAGTAAGGGGCAATAAAGAGACCAGGCCCTGATGGATTTCCTCACCTCCTCATCATTCACTCAGCACCTCAAGTGGTCCTTGCTTAGGTGCTAGGTTCAGTGTGAATTGCTGAGACCCCATGTCAGTAAGTCCTGGCTCTTGCTCTGCTCTGTGAATTTCAGTCTAAGAGGGGAGATAGTGTGGGTGGAAGGCATTCCAAGCCCAAGGAACAAGGAAAATTTGTGCAAAGACAAATGTTCCTGTCCTTTAAGACAAAGCTCAACAGTCTTTTCCTGTGGAAAAATGAGAACGGGAAGGCATGAGTGTTTGGGGGCATGGTGAGAAGGTCCCTGTGTGAGGGAAGAGAAAGAAGAAAGAAGGATGGCAAAGGAGGCTAGATTCTGCAGGATTTGTATGCCAACTAAGAAACAGATTTTTGCCAGGCTCAGTGGCTCATTCCTGTAATCCTAGCACAATGGGAGGCTGAGGCAGGAGGATCGTTTGAGGCCAAGAGTTAGAGACCAGCCTGGGAAACATAGCAAGACCTTATCTCTACAAAAAATTTTTTAAATAGCCAGCATGGTGGTGCATACCCAACGACTTGAAAGCTGGGGCGGGAGGATTGCTTGAGCCCAGGAGATTGAGGTTACAGTGAACTATGATGTCACCACTGCACTCCAGTCTGGGTGACAGAGTGAGACCCATCTCTAAGTAAGAATGAAAAAGAAGAAGTTGGGATTTTTTTAGCCTGGAGACTCTTAGTTACAAATTCAAATGCCTTCAGGGACCACGGATACTATAAATGTAAACAGCCAGCCAGGCCTAGTGATGCTCACGGTAATCCCAGCTGCTCCCAAGGCTGAGGAAGAAAGATCCTTGGAGCCCAGAAACTCAAGACCAGCCTGGACAACATAGCGAGACCCCGTACCAAAGAAAAAGAAAAAAGAATGTGAAGAACAGTAGACGCAACACAACAGGGAGTGGAAGGGTCCCGTGGCTAATCAGAGAGCACACGCTCTGCCTACACGGTGTGGGTCCAACACGGTGTGGATCCAACAAGCCCCTCTGGAAAGCTGGACGGGAGTGCGGGATTGTGACTCCAAAGCTGATGAGGCTAAAGTCAGGGAGGGTGGTGATCTGACATCTTCCAAGGTTCTGTCATTTCCACAGCCCCAGCACATGTGGAATTAGACCCAGAGCAAGATTTCTATTCGTTGCTTCCTCTGCCCCCTGAGATGCTGAACTGTCGGGAATGTATCAGGTGCTCATTTTTGGCGAAAAAAGCTCTTCGGCGGATGTCCCTCCTCATGGGCAAAGTCTGGGCATCTCCAATGCAGCCCCTCCCCTCTTGAGCTTTCTCCTTCATCCACCTGGGGTGGTGAAAGGGCACTGGGTTTGGAGCAGAAATGACTGGGCTTTGAACCCAGCTCTGCCACTTTCTCGCTGGCTGCGCTTGGGAAAGTAACTCAGTTTCTCTGGAGCGCCAGTTTTCTCATCTGCAAAACGGGAGGGATCACTGTGCTACTCCCTCCAGAGGGTTGCCTGAGGAGAAAAGAGGTAATGCACGCACGGCTCGAGGCACTCAGCGGCTTTCAAGAAATGGGATTGTCTCTTCCGTTTCCCTCGCCCTAGAGCCCTCCGCTCCAGCTGCGGCCCCTTTAAGATCGCCTTGGATGACCCAGATTCAAAGTCAAGAACGGCCCTCTAGTTCCAGTCTCTATGGTTAACACCTCACTTCCGGGCGGAAGTTTATCAGCCGGACCACTTCCGCCCGGGAGAGTGGGAAACTGTTGGAGACACGTGCTTCGTCCTGTTCGGGTGGTTCCCGCTCTCGCCTCCTGCTGGTCTCCGGCTTCGGCCCGTAGGGCGACGCTGCCACCCGCCCTAGACCACGGAGTTGGCCCCGCCACGGGCCGTTAACGGAGCTCCGTCGGGGGCCGGGAGGCACTGACCGGGTGACCGGAGACCAAAGACCAGAGATCCCACGGGGCCCGAGACTTCCAGGCGGCTCCTCCCCTAGCAACTGGGGCTTAAACGGGAGGAGACAAAGGGAACTTGGTCCCCACGCAGCCATGGAGGGAGGGGCTGTAGGGAGGCGCCGTAACCAGCAGAGTTTGCGTCCCCGACGGGGCTAGCTCTGATTTCTAGGAGCGTGGTAAGCATCGAGTGTCTTTTATCCTTTTAGAGTACATCAGATTCCTCTTTCTCCCCCGACTTTCCACAGAAAATGAGAAATGGCCAGCCCCTGACCATTGGCCGAAGCTGTGCAGCAACGAATATTTCCTCCTCATTAATGGGAGCACTCAGAGTGACCTCAGTTTGAGAGATCCAGGTATGTCAAACGTGGAGACAAAAGTGTCCTAAGGCAGATGGTCTGGGGAAAGGCTCTTGTGTTGCTGAACCTGCCTAGCTGTGGGTGCAGCCTTGTACCAGGCAGCCCCACCCTGACCTAAAGTAAATTCCCAGGAAAAGTCTTTCTGGGATTTGAATTTGCAGTAACAGGTGTGAACATTCTAGCAGCAGTTTGATGATCATGTATAATACTGCAAACAGAACCTACACCGAAAAGAAGAAAACTGCCACAGTTAGTATCAGAGGGCAGGTAGTTTTCAAGACTTCTCGAATAGTGTTGTGATATCATGCGTTTCATTCAGTGACTGTTGATACTTGACCAGGTACCATGCTAAGTGTTAGGGATACAGGGATGAACAAAACAGTCGTAGCCCTTGTTCCCAGGCCAAGGTGAGTGTCTGTAGGAAGGCACAGGTCTGTAAGAATATGTACCACAAGGAGCCTGATGGGAGACTGGAAGGCTTTCCTGAAGATGAGACCCTTAAGCTGGACTCTGAAGGATGAGTAGGAGGTTGTTGGGAAGGCCAAGGGACAGCCCAGTGGCTGGTGAAGGAACTGGAGGAAGGTGGCCATTACACCCCAGAAAGTGAGGTGGATAATGGTGTGGAATGGAGCCAAAAAGATGGTGAAAGGCCAGGCCACACAGGGCATTGTGGTGCAGGTGACGATTTTGATCTTTGTCCTTAAGTATAGTGGGATGCCATGATAGGTTTTAAACCAGAGGGTGATGTGCAAAATTCTGTAATTTCAAAAAATGACTACATACAGAAGAGGGCTATCCAACAGAACTTTCTGCAGTGATAGAAATGACCTTTATCTATGCTGCCCAGAGCAACCACAAACCATATGTGGGCTGCTGAGCACTTGCAGAGTGACCAGTGCAACTTAGTGACCAGGTTTTTCATTTTAACTTAAGTATAAATAGTCACTTGTAGCTAGTTGCCACTGCGTTAGTCTAAAATGCACGGAAGGGAACAGCAACACCTTTATGGCACGGGTCCCTTGGAGGAGTTCTAGTGTTTGATTTCTCCTAGCATCTCAAACATCAACAGCAGCTGTTCATGGGATTTTTAATGCTTCTTTTCTTGTCTGTGGTTCAGCCTGCGCTTTTGTGAAGCAGCATCTTCTTCCTTTGTCTTTGCTTGTTTTGTTTTCTGCACATCATCGACGCGTTGTCAGTGTCAGTACCTACAGTGGTCAGAGCATTAAGTCATACATATTGAAGAGAAATGTAAAGGGTAGTCCCTGGTGTTAGGGGCCTAAGTCCTGTCTAGCCAGATAGATTTCAACAGGTGCTGTGGAACAACAGGAAGGAGTGTTTCAATGGGACCCTTTAAGGATGTGACCCTGGAGAGAAGTAAAGGCTTTTTCCTACTGGTGAAACCATGTGACAAAAGGCAGGAAGCATGAGAGTGCTTGGGAGGATGTGGGAGCTCAAGAGTGGGAGTCAAACGGGGGAAATACATGGCTAGAGGGAAGGGAAGAAAAGTAAAGTCGGAGGAAATAGATTGGTGCTAGGTTGTAGGGCTTTGACTGTTGGTTCCAGTCGCTTTGTTAATGACCCGTTTCTAAGGAAGACCACAGGTGTCAGTATGCAGGTGACACCCTGGAGAGAGATCAGTTAGGAAGTCCCTGTAACGGCCTTGAGTAGGAGGTGACCAGCCTTTGGCTCAAGTGGTACCTGTGGACTTGGAAGGACGAGGGGAGAATAGACAGGGTCTCCACGGGGCAGATTCCAGGGTACCTCTCACCTTGCATTCTGCATGGAAGGTAGATTTCAGAGAGTATTTCATGGTGTGAACAGTTCTAAATCTTCAGACTTGGTAAAGTAGAATAGAAATTGATGTGCTCTGCTTTCTTGGCAGGTCAGTTCCCTGAAGATTTCTGTGTGCTGGATGAAAATATGATTTTGTCTCTGCTGGTTCTGTGTCCCTGTAATGGCATTGTTGGGGCTCAGGACCTTCCAGGTTTGTTCAGTTTAATTCTCAGCCGCATGTTTTTTGAATGGTGACCTGCTCAAGACCTTGTTTTGTATGGATATAAATAAATGAAGTCAGACCCCAAGGTGACTTTAACACACTTCATGGTTTCCCTGCCAGCGGCCTTGTGTGAATAAATGTAGCCTTTACTTCTGAGCTAAACCCTGGGCCGCTTCCAGCTGCTCCAAAACGAGGGACTTAGAGAGCCACTCCCAGGATTCTCTGTAGGAAGTGAGTGCTGGGGGAATGTTTATCCTCAAGGAACACGAATTGTTGAAAAACAATGATCACTAGAGAGATGACCACTGTCCTCAGTAGCTACCAGAAAGAAGGATGGCTCCTGGGGCCCAGGGTGGTAATGACCGCATTCAGAAGGAGCACTTCACTTTGGTTAGCATATGGCAGAAAATGACTGCCGACCTTGGAACTGGCTGTGTTGCATCGTGGTAACTGACAGCTGCCTGTGCCTCAGGTGTATTGCTGCCCCATGCAGACCTCTTGCTTACACCTGTGTGTCCCCAAGGGCACCACCAGCCTTATCTGGGAATGAGCAACTCTCCCCGACTTGGGGACCTTGGTACCAGGGCTGTTCAGTGGTCACACACCCTTTGGGCTGTCACCACCCCGTAGCCATAAATTAGTCCCTTTCCACTCCTGGCCTAGGGTTCCCAGTAGAAGCAGAATCACCATACGCTCCTCAGTTGCACACGCATTCAAGGCACCATTTTCACCGAGATTGGGGCACTGCTAGCACGGGAATGATTTGCCGTCTGTTTACAGGAACCAAGCCTATGTGCCTCCAGCAGCCTGTGTAATAGCTGCCGTGTTTATATTCCCCATGCTGTCTTGTTACGGGACAGTGCAGGGACTCCCACTGTTGATGTGGTATAGAAAGGTCCACTTAGGCCGGGCACGGTGGCTCATGTCTATAATCCCAGCACTGTGGGAGGCCGAGGTGAGAGGATTGCCTGTTCCCACGAGTTTGAGACCAGCCTGGGCCATTTGGCAAGACCTCTTCTCTACGATTAAAAAAAAAAAAATTAGCCAGGCGTGGTGGCACCTGCCTGTAGTTCCAGCTACTTAGAAGGCTGAGGTGGGTCTGGCTCGGTGGCTCAGCCTGTAATCCTGTGCTTTGGGAGGCTGAGGTGAGTGGATTGCCTGAGACCCACCTGGGCGACTTGGCGAGACCTCATCTCTACAATAAATTAAAAAATTAGCCAGGTGTGGTAGCACGCGCCTGTAGTTACAACTACTTGGAAGGCTGAGGTGGAAGGATCGCCAGAGCCCAGCAGATCGAGGCTGCGGTGGCCGGGAGTGTGCCACTGTACTCCAGTATGGGTGATGGAGTGAGACTCCAACTCAAAAAAAGAAGGCTGAGGTGGAAGGAACACCAGAGCCCAGCAGGTCAAGGCTATAGTGACTGAGCATGCCACTGCACTCCAGCCTGGGTGACAGTGAGACGCCGACTCAAAAATAGAAGAAAGGCCATCTTGGACTTCCCACCTAGCCCTGCCAGGCCCAGGGCACCTGCCTGTCCTCCTTCTTATGTGTTTTTCTGGACATGCTGCTTGAACTTCTCAACGTGATGGCCTTTCACCCGGCTCTCTTGTCCAGCTCGACTCCCAGAGGATCTTGCCCAGCAGTGCCCAAGCCGAAGATGTAATTTCAGTGCCGTGAGGTAAGCGTCCATAGCTTTATGCTAATTGACCGATAATCTGAAGGAACTACAACTACAGAGGGGGGGAGGCCTGGACACCTCGGAAGATTCCCAGAATGCAGCCCCAGCCCCCGCCAGCCTGCTGTGTGGCCTGGGGTGGGTCACTCCCCGTTTGCACCTCGGTGTTTGTACTCCCTGGATGAGATGGGGACAGGGGTGATGATGACTCCCACCAGACTTGTGCTTGTGAGGGCTAAGCGAGCAAATCTTGTGAAGCACTCAGAGGAGGCCTGGGGCCTGTCGCCCGGGGCTCAGGACTCCTTCAGACGTGTCAGCCATATTGTTACTGTCACTGACACCTTTCCCTCTGATTTCCAGAGCATTTTCAGCTGTGAAATTATGTGGGGTGCAGCGGTATGGGAAAGTTTTGGGTTTTAACAGGTGCTCTTTGCCATAGGAAGATGCCTACCTACCTGCAAGGCAGGAGGCCTGAGGTGCAAGCTTACTGTAGGCTGTTGGTTTTTAACCTCTCAATTTGCACATTGGGGCCACTCACAAGAGCACGCACCCTGCAAGAAACAGTTCGTCCATCTCTACTTGCTTGTCTTCAGGGGGAATGTATATTAATTGCCTGAGTTAATATATTGTGTTACATACTGGGGGAGCGAAAATCACATGTATGGCTTTTTCGGGAATAAACCACTTTGATGCCTAGTTACTGTCTCCTCCTTCTGTGTGGTTAAGTCTACTCAAGCACCTGTGGCTTCGAGTGCCAGGTTCCTCAAGGAACTGAGTTAGTCTTTGGGAGTTTAATCATGAGCGTTACATCCCAGGCTTTTCTGAGCAATGACATCATATTTATAGCATGGAAAATGCTTACATGACTGCGCTTCGTCCTGAGCTATGGATAGCTTGCAAGATCTTTCCTGTTAGTCAACCCTGGAGGGTACTAGAGAATCTGTGTGAGTCATCAGGGACAAGAAGTCAATCTGGGAACTTCTTAGGGCAAAAAGTCTACCAAGAACAGGGAAATAAGCACAAGAAGAGAGGGATGATTCTGAGGCAGATGGCATGAGTGAAACCTTCCCCAAAGGCTTTGTCCCACATGCTGCTGCTTGTCTTTGCATTCCTGTCTTGGTCTGCTGAAACATTGCCCAGAGGACACTTCTTAACATTGTACCTCCTCTGCTTTTCTCTCTGACTTGACCCCAAGGCAATAAATAGCCTTCATTAATTCCCCTACAGTAATGGGCTCAAGTGACTTACATGCTGAGAGCCTTTGTGGGTGATGGTAGGGAAGTGTAGAATTAATGGGAAGAGATTCAAGAACATTGTGTGTGACCTCCTGGAATGTTCCCCAGCTGTCTCTGGATCTGTCATTCAGTTCCAGCTCCAGGGAGTCAGCCCCTGCCAGGCTAGATGTGGTGATGGCAGCTTATTTTCCCCAAATAACATATGTTCAAAATAGGTTCCAGTGTATCGTGGGTAGGCCTTAGCATTTTGACCTCTTTTCTCTGGATTATGTAAAAAGGGATGTTGCTTTCAGTAGTAGCAACGGATAATGAAATGTGTGATTAGGAGGTCATTTTCTTTTTCTTTTCTTTTTGAGTCGGAGTCTCACTCTGTCACCCAGACTGGAGTGGCACACTCTCGGCCTGCTGTGTCAGGCAATCCTGCCTCAGCCTTCCAGGTAGCTGGGACTGCAGGTGCATGCCACCAGGCCCACCTAATTTTTTGATGTATTGTAGAGGTGAGGTCACGCCATGTTGCTCAGTGTGGCCTCAAACCCATGAGCTCAGTCAATCTTCTCACCTCTTCCTCCCAAAGTGCTGGGATTATAGGTGTGAGCCACTGTATCTGACTGGTCATTTTCCTTAGTAGAGATGGGGTTTCGCTAGGTTGCCCAGGTTGGGCTCAAGTGATCTTCCAGCCTCAGCCTTCCAAAGTGGTGGTGTTACAGGTATGAGCCACTGCACCCAGCCAAGACGTCTTTTTTTTTGAGTTGAAGTTTCACTTTGTCGCCCAGACTGGAGTGTAGTGGCACACTCCCGGCCACCACAGCCTTGACCTGCTGGGCTCCAGCGATCCTTCCGCCTCAGCCTTCCAAGTAGCTGGAACTACAGGCACATGCTCCGACGCCCGGCTAATTTTTTGATCTATTGTAGAGATGAGGTCTCGCCAAGTTGCCCAGGTGAGTCTTGAACCCTCAGGCTCAGACAATCCACTCACCTCGGCCTCCCAAAGTGCGGGATTACAGGCTGAGCCACCGAGCTGGCCACAAGAAGTCATTTTTTTAATGTTAAGGATTACTGGCTGGGCACGGTGGCTCACGCCTATAATCCCAGCACTTTGGGAGGCCAAGGTGATAGGATTACTTGAGCCCACGGGTTCAAGAACAGCCTGAGTAACATGGCAAGACCTCATCTTTACAATAAAGAAAAATTAGCCGGGCGTGGTGGCCCATGCCTGTAGTTCCAGCTACTTGGAAGACTACAGCAGAAAGATTGCCGGAGCCCAGCAGGTCGACACTGGGGTGGCCATGAGCATGCCACTGCCCTCCAGCTTGGGCGACAGAGTGAGACTCTGACTCAAAAAAAAAAAAATTGCTGTGTGGTACACAAGGCCTGTATCAGAAGAAGTATATAAAAATTGTACTAAATAATATTTGACAGCTAGTCAAGAGTTTTTACTTCTCTCTTTGTCCACTAGAGGATGTAATCCTACACCAGATTGTGTTCTCTTTTCTAACTTGGTACTAAGTTTGAGGGTTTCTTTTTTTGGGTTTCTTTTTTGAAATTTAGCCAAGACCTTCTTTCACCAGAAAGTTATGCAGAACATTTATCTGTGGGGTTGAGCTCTTGCTTAAGGATCTTCAGGGTGTCCCTGCGGCCTTCGATTCCTGGGAAATGCTTATCACATCTTGGACCAGCTGAACCAAACCCAGGCACTCACACTTGTGACTAAGAACAGTGGCTAGGGCATTTCTCCATTCAACTTCACTCCAGTGCCAGCTGGTGGGAACATCAGAAGGTTTTCTTTGGCAGGGAATCCATTGCAATATAAACCAATATAAACTGGTATTTGAAGTTCTGACAGGGTAGCAGGCCTTTAGCAGTTTCTCTGGTGTGTACATTGCTTTCCATACTTGAAATGGAAAGGTACGTATCCAGACTGAACAAAGTGTACAAAGCCATTGTGGTTTAGATTGTTACCTGTTGGAAAAGTACTGTTGAATTGGGGGGAAGGAGTGACAATTCTGGGAGTGTAATTTTAGACACTATATTCTCTGGTTTTCAAGCCTGTGAGCAGCTTTCTGGTGGATGAAGCAATACTTAATCGAGCACTTACTGCTGGTTACACAGCGCTACAGCCTGGAGTACAACAAGCTTCCTGCCTCAGAGAACATACATTTCAGGACAGGGGAGACAGGAAGTAAATCATTAGAAAATGTAGGATAGGCTGGTCTTGGTGGCTTAGACTGTAATCCCAGCACTTTGGGAGGCCGAGGCAAGTAGATTGCCTGAGCCCTCAGGAGGCCGAGGTAAGAGGATTGCCTGAGCCCACAGGTTGGAGACCAGCCTGGGCAACTTGGCAAGACCTTGTCTCTACAATAAATCAAAAAATTATCCGGGCCTGGTGGCACATGCCTGTAGTTCTAGCTACTTGGAATACTGAGGCGGAATGGTCGCCTGAGCTGGTCAAGGCTGTAGTCCGTCTACTTGGAAGGCTGAGGCAGAAGGATCACTGGAGCCCAGCAGATCGATGGTGGGGTGGCCGTGAGTATGTCGCTGTGCTCCAGCTTGGGCGATAGAGTGCGATTCCAATTCAAAAAAAAAAAAAATGTAGGATAGCTGGGCGCAGTGTCTCAAGCCTGTAATCCTGCACTTTGAGAGGCCGAGGTAAGAGGATTACCTGAGCTCACGAGTTCGAGACCAGCCTGGACAACTTGGCAAGACCTCATCTCTACAATAAATAAAAAAAGTAACCAGGCATTGTAGTGTGAGCCCATAGTTCCAGCTACTTGGATGACTGAGGTGGAAGGATCGCCTGAGCACAGCAGGTCGAGGCTGTGGTCTCCATGAGCGTGCCACTGTACTCCAGCCTGGGCGACAGAATGAGACTCCAACTCAAAAACACACAAAAAGAAAAATGTAGGATAACAGATGAATGTTGTGGAGAAAAAACCTGTTAGGGAGAAGTTGGGGGTGCAGTTTGCCATTTTAAATAGATGGTCCAGGGAGGTGGCCTTTAGCAAAATCTTTAGACAAGGAAGAGCATCTCATGCAGAGGGGTGACCAGTATTGTGCATGAACAAAAAGGGCTTAGGAGAGGGCTGGAGGGACCGGGGCCGGGTTTCCTAGGGCCTCACCTGTGGAATGATATGGGGCTTGAGCTTTTCCTCTGAGAAATGTCCATGGTCGCATTCTCTTCTACTCTTACCTTGTAGGGACCGTCTTTTCCTTAATAAAGTAGTTTACAGCCGGGCTTGGTGGCTCAGCCTGTAATCCCGCGCCTTTGGAAGACTGAGGTGAGTGAATTGCCTCAGCCCGTGGGTTCGAGACCCGCCTGGGCAGCGAGACCTCATTTCTACAATAAATCAAAAAATCAGCTGGGCGTGGTAGCGCATGCCTGTAATCCCGGCTACTTGGAAGGCTGAGGAGGAAGGATCGCTGGAGCCCAGCAGGTCGAGGCTGCGGTGGCCAGGAGCGGCCACTGCACTCCAGTCTGGGCGACAGAATGAGACTCCAACTCAAAAAAAAAAATAAGATAAAATAAAGTAGTTTACGTTAGGAGTATTTCCTGTTGTGTGAACACGTGTCCACTGAGAGGATCCCAGGTGCATGTGTAGGGAACATTGTCTTTTTCTGGGCATCTGAGGGAGACTCTTGACTCATGTTGAACAAGCCACGTGTCCCAAGATGAATGATGTGGAAGGGGACATTTGGAAACAACAGGTAAAATACCTGGGACAGCCGAACCTCTTCACATAAAGACCGTGTGCCCTTCACCTGTTGATCAAGCCAGAGACTGCCTGTCCCAGGATGACAAGGAGCTCAGTCCTGGATTTGTCCTCACCCCCTCCAAGTCTCAATCGTAGACCTCATCATACTGTTTTGTCATTGTTTGCACTTCTGTGCTGTCTCCCTGGGGGTAGGAATCCTGCCCTACAGGGTTTCTGTTTCATTTATATCACTAACTTGCTATTAGGAAGACTAAAAAAAGTACATTCTCTTATAATCTTTACAAGTAGAAGCCTGTTTGAGTTTAATTGGTTACACGTTATGAATGTATTTAAAACAAGTATTTGTTCTGATTTTTTTTTCCGGATCGGTTAGGCAGCTACAGCCAAAAACTAGTTCTTTTATTGCAAATGTTGAAAGTAGCCCTATGTAAGTCATTGGAAGGTCACATGTCCACAGACTGTCAGCTGTGGAGAGTTATGTAACAGCGGTTATGCAACGCTAGAACTGCAGCCACCAGCAGCAAAACATTTAGATTATTGTACTGAATTAAAATAAGACTTCTACTTTCTTTCAACAACAAATCCCTTGTTAACAAAACCAACACTTGGCCTCTGCAACCCATATTCGGCCTTCTGTGCGTGGCTGTCCCCATTGAGATTTCTTTAAAAGTCAAGCCAGGCACCGTGGCTCACACCTGTAATTCCAGACTTTGGGAGGTGGAGGTGAGAGGACTGCCTGAGTTCAGAAGTT